TTGTCCTCTGCCTACAGGATCAGACCCTGTGGTCCAGGTATGCCTAGAATCTCAGCACTTGGGTAGGGATAAGGGAGAGGTAGGAGGCTATGAGTTGGAGTCTAACCAGGGCTACATAGTGAGACTCTGCCAAAAAGGAAAATAAGGGGTTGGGTCTGGCTGGAGAGATGGCTCAGTGGTTGAGATCGTTTGTTACCTTTGCAGAGGATCCGGGTTCAGTTCTCAGCACCCACATGATGGGTCACAGCCATCCATAACTCCTGTTGTGAGGACCTGACACCTTCTTCTGTCTTCTGTGCGCACCAGGCATGCACGTGGTGCACATATATACATCAGTAAAACACTCATACAGATAAAATAAGAAAAAATTAAAAAGATTTGTAAAAAAGAAAAAAGGGGCCAAAGATGTGGCTCAGTTGGTAGAGTGCTTGCTTACCATGTACAAGGCCTTTGGCGAAACCCTTAGCACCATATAACCTGGGCTTGGTGGCACACAGCTAGGAGGTAGAGACGGGAGAATCATGAGATCAAGGTTATCCTTGTCTGCATAACCAGCTTGAGGCCTGTGTGGGCTAGAGACTCTGTCAAAAGAAAGGGAGAAGAGAGAAGTGGGGATATAATTAGAAAAAGGCGGAAAGAGAAGCTTGGATCCTGTGATGACTCTGGGAGAACGACAAGGGCCCCATGTCTGGATGGACACTGTTGTTACCTCCTGCAGCCCTCGCTCCCTCAGCTCCTTCATAACCACATGGTAGCCTGTGAATGGCAGTCACTGGCCCTGAATGTCTGGGCTGCAAGCATGCACAGGGCCTGGAAAGCAAGAAGTTTGTGGCTGAAAGCAGTGAGCTTACACTCCGCCTGCAGATCCCTACAACCACCCTGGGAGGCACGGGGTGCTAGTTCAGGCTGGGCATTGCAGCGTGTGAGTGCGTGCCTGCTTGCGTGTGTGTGTGTGTGAGAGACAGATAGAAAGAGAGAGAGAGAGAGACAGACAGACACAGACACACAGAGAGAGACAGAGACAGAGAGACAGGATTTGAATCGAGACCTGACCCCCAGCCAGCACCCTTCCTTCCTCCACTATGCAGAGAACAGCACAAAGGACCACACACACACACACACACACACACACACACACACACACACACCCTGGGTCACAGATGCTGAACTCTACTTTCAGAAGCTGGCAGCAGGTGCTGGGACTACAGGGCATCTGATGCCCAACTGGACTGTGGTGCTGAGTCTGGAGTATCCAGGTGCCTGGGTTCAATTAGTACCTGCTCCTAACCTGGGCTCCAAGCTCCCTCTGGGGGGAAAGGGGTGTACTCTGTAGGTCTCTGCCAGAGCTCAGAGCTGGTAGCAAGATAGGGGCAGTGCGTGCATAAAGATGCAATCAAGCTCGGGAGGGACCCTTTCCATCTCTGCTAAGCAGGACTGGCCTTCTCCTGCCCACACGGATGGGCTGTCACATGGGCTCAGCATCTCCAGGGACTGTGTAGTCCCTGGAGCCATAGTTCGTAGCTGCTGAAAATGGTAGCTCAGAGAACTGACCCTGGCAATGCTGGTCCCCACTCTTTTACCCTTCTTGCCCAAAACTCTACATATGTATCAAGCTTCAGGGTCTTCATCCCCAGACCATACTCCCCCCACCCCTGCCACCTTCCTGAAGAATTATGGGTAAAGATCTCAGACCAGCACCTGGCAGACACGTAAGAGGCAATGCCCTCTATTGTGATTATGAGTAGTTCCTGTGACTCTGGCGCATCCGTGGGTACTTCAGAGCCGCCAGGCCTGCTTGGACCCCTGCTGAGTCCCCTGCCTGGGTTGGAAACCCTGCCTCCTTGGGAGGGAGCTCTGAATTGCAGTGCTCCTGCCAACCCCTCCCTCCTGGCTTGGCAGCCTGAAGACAAAGCTGGCCAAAAATATTTGTGTGGGTGGCGGAAAGTTAACTTTTCCGCCTCTCTCTTCTTTCCTGGAAACCGTGGCCACTGTCAACTACAGCAAAACAGAAGCAGGGAAGATGGAGCAGGCGAGGCCCCCACAGGGAGTCAGAGAGCTCTGCCCCCGCCCTTCACCCACTCCCGCTGCCTCCTGCCATCTGGTTCTGTGACAGGGTAGGGGTGGGTGGCTCTGAGTACTGAAACTCATGGATCTGTGATGCCAGAGTCCCGTGGTCCTTCTAGCGCTGGCTGCCTGATTTGCACTGTGCCCTTGGGGAAAACTGCCTCCAGAAGGTGGGAGGCGTCTGGTCAGGCTCACACAGAATCTAAGGTCCTCTTCCTGAGAGTCAAAGGCCTTTGACTTCAGTGGCAGGAGTCTGGCATCTGTTGGTAAGCAAGCAAGGTCTTGGGGAGGAGTGAAGATCTGAGGCCACCTTCACCAGGTTTGAGGTCCAGCCCCAGGATCAAGGTGTCAAAGCAAGGTGTGATTCCTAACTGGGTCACTTCATTTAGTGGATTCTCTCTTTCCCTCCCTCTAGGATGAGCTATGAAGCATCTATCTGGTGCTTGCCTAAGTGAACACCCAGGAGGGAGTGGATGCCCAGTCCTGGGGGCTCCCTTCTTCCCAGGCCCCGCTGACAGGTGCTTGGTTCTCTCTATGATCAGGACTCATGTTTGCCTTCCCCTGCTTGGCTCCGACCTACCAGAGGGTCTGGTAATACACTTATTCCCCAGACTGCCTACCAGTCTCTCCTGGCACAGCTCCAGTCAGAGGCCAGCAGCTCAACCCAGACTACTACAGACGAGATGACTGGCCTCCGCCCGGACTGGAGGCCTCAGGGCCATGGGTGGTAGGGCTCGGCCCCATTGTCATCAAGCCAGTAGCCTTCCATAAATCCTCACCAGCCAGGCATAGTCAGTACATGAGTATATGCACGCACGAGTCCTCTAGCTATCTCCTAATAGAGAGTTCACACGGCTAAGCCGTGGTAGACGGCGTCTTTCTACAACATCCACTCACTACAAGGGTGCCCGCAAGTGTAACTGGCAATGTGCCCTGCCTCAAGGGCTGTCCGCTCAACTGAAAATGGCTTCTTCATATCAGACTCTGTATCTCCTCAAATGATTTCCAAACTGTTATCCCCACCATGGGACTCTCTCCTGCTTTCTGGGACCCCACCTGGACCTGCCCACTGCACATCTTCCCTGGGAATCTAAGCATCAAACACCTCCCTGTTCCACCAAACACCTGCACCTTCCAGTTTGTTTTCATCCCCCACGAGCACAGTCACGTGTCCTCAGAGCCAGGGACCTGCGTGGCACCCCATATTCTTCCCCCTTTTCTACGCCCACTGTCCATCTGCCAAGCTCTTCCGCCCGAGTATCCACCATTCATCCCCTCCTCCTCCGCCCTTAGAGAAAGCTTCCGCCCTCTGCTAATTATCATTTGTAACACTTATAAAAAATTCTACTATTATCACTATTTTTCATTATTATTCACAGTGCTACCTAACATAGCGGTTCTCAACCTGTACCTCTGGGGTCGAAGGACCATTTCACAGGGGTTGTCTAAGATCATCAGAAAGCACAAATATTTATTTATATTATGATTCATAACAGTAGCAAAATTACAGTTATGAAGCAGCAATGAGGCAATTTTATGATTGGGGGTCACCACAACATGAAGAACTATATTAAAGGGCCCCAGCCTTAGGAGGATTGAGAATCACTGCTCTCACAAATATCAAAACTTCATGAGCTAGAACACCATACCTCCATCTACACTATGTGTCTCTTAACGATACCTGAAGTAGAACAGGGGCCTGCCTGATAAATGTTTGTGGGTTGAAAGAGCAACCCACATAAGTTAAGTGATGGCTCAGAAAGTGGGCTCAGTGCTCTGCATTCATTTTTTCATAGAACCCTTGGCACGATTAAATTAGAGTTGATCCCTCATCCAAAGTGCTTGGGACCAGAAGTGTTTCAAATTTTAGACTCTTTTAGGTTTTTGGAAAATTTGCATATGCATAATGAGATAGCTTTGGGGATGAGAAGCCAAGTCTAAAATTAAGTTTACTTTCTGTTTCATACATATCATATACCCAGCCTGAAGGCCATTTTACAAGAGGCTTTTTTCTGTTAACTGTACCTTATGTTTTCTGTGACTTAGTCCCCAAGTCCAGGATGGGATTGGGACTGGTGGCTACATGATGGTGCTCAGAAAGTTTTGGGTTTGGGGTCTTCAAATTCTGGGGTGTTCAAGCTAGATTACAATGTCCATCTTACAAGTGGGGAGTGGGAGACTCCGAGACCAACACATATGTGGTAGAGTTGGATCCTCGCTCAAAGTCTGGGCACACATAAGCAAGCCATTGTGTTGGTTCTTTTTTGTTTGTTTGTTTGTTTTTGTTTGTTTTGAGACAGGTTTTCTCTTTCTCTTTAGCTTTAGAGCCTGTCCCAGAACTAACTCTTGTAGACCAGACTAGCCTCAAACTCACAGAGATCTGCTTGCCTCTGCCTCCCAAGTGCTGGGATTAAAGGCATGTGCTACCACCGCCTGGCAAATTTTCTTTTGTGTGTGTTGACTCTTATAATCAGCTGTGTACCCTACTTGTGTCCCCCACCCCACTGTCCCTGTCATTCTTGTGGTGTGTGTACCTTTGGTGGGATGTGAAAGAATTCTTTTTACATGGTGCTCACAAGTGCTTTAAAATAATGAGATATTTATTTAATGTGCACAGGGAAGAAAATGAGTTGGCACTGTATGCTTGTGGTTTTCCTGCAATTATTGCTCAAGATAATTCTAAAGTAATAGAAATTATGTTATTTAAAGTGGATTGAAGAGAAACATTAAGTAAATAAATGTCAGGTAGCCTAAGGATAGGGCGTGAATGGCACACTACAAGGTCGGACATCCGGGAACACTTTCCTGTGGAGGAGTGGGAATTGTACCCCAGATCCCACCCAGCTCTCCAGGTACCAGGAGTAGACAGGTCTCAGGGATTCCATTCAGAACACTCAGTAGCTCTCTGATGTGTGGTATCGTCTCTTCCTATACAGATAGATCGCTCTGAAGGGCCCTACATAGCAGAGCTCAGGAGGGTAGGAAGTGTTGGAGGACTCCATCTTCCCCCAGCCCAGACAGGACTTGTCTCGTCCCTCATCTGGACCTCACTCCAGCCCTGTGCAGCAGCAGCAGAAAGTGACTCTGCAGAGAACCCAAGGAGGCCTCGAGAGGAGTGAGGAGCAGTACTCACACGGCCACCTACCCTGCTCCAGGGAGCTGCTGCTTTGTACTACCAAAGAGAGGGCCATAATGCTGGGCCCTCACTTCCCACCCCCAACCCTTGGACCCAGTGAGGGGAGGCCTGCCCCTTGCACCTTCCAGATCCCGGATGGGAGCTACAGGTGCCTGGCTCTGGAAGCTGAGGAGAGCAGCAGTGAAGATGGCCAGCAGGGAGAGGTGAGGCTTGCGGACCTGGAAGAAGATGTGGCTAGCAGACACAGAGCCAGCCATGGCACGCCACAGCTATCCAGAGCCTCAAACGTAATCCAGCCATCCAGCTGTTCCAGGGAGGCACGAGGTGGGTTCCAGCATGGTGACAGGACCAGCCATGACTGGGACGTGGTACAGGCCCGGAAAGTGATGACAGTCGGTGACAGCACCAGCCCTGGGTCCAGGGTGGCCCAGAAACCAGGTAAGCTTATATCCCTTCTCCCTAGGGTCATAGAGAACCCCACAGGCTCTTAATCAGGGACTTTTAAAGCATGTTTTCCTAGGCTGTTTGACAATGATCACAAGTCTTCCAGCTGTCCGGATCTCCAGCTGTGGGAGGGGGCACCTGGGCAGTTCCAGCTCTTTGTCAAGGAGAAGGCATCAATAGAAAGTCTGTCTTTCACTTGGTTGACAAAAATCTCACTCGCCCCTCTCACCTGCCCTTTAACCATCGTAGCAAGTGGCTGTGAAGTCCCAAGCAACTGGCCCTTGGGGAAAGACCCTTCATTAAACCTCCGAGCTCAGTGGCAGCTCTAGACAAACACCCTGACAGAGAGGCCATTGCCTCCCAGGTGCTGGCAGGGTAGAGACTGAAGCCTTCCATGTAAGATGACCTCAGTGGGGAAACTGAGCCTCAAGAGTAGGAGAGTGTGCCTCCGGGTCCCTCAGCATATTGCTGGCTGAGCTAGGCAAAGGGTCCTTTCTCAGACCTCAGTTCTCCATCTGTCAGAGATGAATGACAAAGGCAGAAGCCTTGTCACCTGGATTGTAACAAGCGTCAGTGACAGCTTGTGGAGGGAGGAGGATCATCTTCTCCCGGGCGGGGAGGGAGGCAGTGAGAGCTGGAGTGTGCAGAGGAGACAGGATAGGCAAGGGAATCTGCTTCGAATCGCCTCCACTGCTGGCCAGTGCCAATGGAAACGCCGTAGTGGGTTCACACTGCGGGTGGGGTTGGCCGTGAGCTGAGCCACCATCTGCCCAGGCAGGAGAGCTGCTGCCAGCAGGTCCCTAGGGTGCAGAGTGTGTGTGGGACAGTCCTGGGAGGGCTTGTGCGTCAAGAGAGTGAAGGAGCACTTCATTTCTCTGCAGGCGTTGCTGACGTCAGAGCTGGCACTTCACCAGCCTTCTCACCCACTCTGCTCTCGGCAATAATTCTCTCCAGGCTCTGATCATCTCATTTGGTCACAGTCTCTGCCCAGGCATGGGTTATACAGTGAGCTGGGCAGGAGCAGTGAGGGGCCAGCAGAGCCTCTAAACAGGGAGGAGGACCTCAGAGTCACCCTGAGTATGAATGAACCTGAGGACCATTGTCACTTGTTCCCTCCCCTTTCCTGGGCCACAGCTGGATCAGGAGGCAGGGGTGATGGTGACAGGTACCATCAGCCCGGTGCTCAGTAGTCAAGCCCTAGCAAGTCCCTTTGGTGAGCTCATTATTTTTTTTCCATCTGTGAAAATAGAATAAAAACAGGAGCTGTTGAAAGGGTGCCATGATTTTAGCTGTAGCTATGTTTTGGAAAATTTACAATGCTCTGGGTAGGTGTGTAAAGTGAAATGGAAGCGATCATTACTGGCTGAACAGCATAACTGCCGTTGGGCGAGCGCTGTGCAGAGGCTGCTGTGCTAACAGCTTCTGTGTATGGCTTCCTGCAGTCTCGCAGCAGAGCCCATTACGTGGATGAAAGATGGCGGCTCAGCTGTGTAAGTGACTTGCCCAGGATGTGACGAGCATGCTCAGCCATGGTTGTATGGCTAAGGGCCTTGGGCTATCAGCTATGATTCTGTTCTGAAATCGTGCTTTCTGCAGATGCCCTGGAATGGTACGGGTGGGATGGAGAGGAGAGAAGATCACTTTTAATGACCTTGTTGGCATCTCGCAGGCTATGGGTCATTTGGTGGGATCTCACTCTCTGTCTTACTGTAGCTTTCCAAAGAAGGGCAGGTGAGACAATGGAGACTCAGAGATCCAAGATGCACAGCCATTGTCAGCCCTGAGACTTGGTGCATCCTTTTCAGGAACAGCCCAATTCATTTGTCTCTTTATGGTCCATCCAGTTGTTCTGAGCATTCCAGGGACAAAGGGGGCAGGAGTGGCCTCAGGAGGAGAGAAAGGAGGGAGAGGTAAGACTTCTCAAAGGAAGCTGGGTCTTGCTAAGAAGTGGAAATCTGGGTGGTCTTGGATCAAGTCTCAGTGGTCTTCCTACTCCCTGGGGATGGGGAGTGGCAGGTCCCTTCCCTCTGCCTGGAGAGTCTGAGGGAAGAAGCCTGGGAAGCTGCCAGGTTATTAGCAGCTTAGGGCTTCCTCTCCAAGCTTCCTCTCATTACAGAGTGGATCATAAGCATCTTCAGACAATCACACCCATCCTTCCGCTATTAAACCTGACTTTCTGGAGTGCTGCCTGGCAGACTGAAGTCCAAGCCATTCATCTTCTGCCTGGGGCACCTTGCAGACCTTTATTTGGGATCAGTGGTACCAGCTGACCTGGGCAGAGCAAGGCCTTTGGCAAACAAGAAGGGGCTGCAGCCTCCCGTTCAGGTTCTGTGTCACCAGTGGCCGAGAGATGTCTGATATAGGGAAGCGACCAGGCTTCTGCCAAGTACTAGGTGGTCCACGAAAGAGCTCTCCTCTGTAGCCATCTCTCCATACGGTCTCAGTCGACTGTACCTGACAGGGGATCAAGTCTGCTGTGTCGATGGCTACAGTAGGAGAGAAAACAAAAACGACAAGTGTACAAAGTCACCCAGTAAATTGGTAGCAAAATCAAAGGGTGCAACCCCAGGCTTCTCTTTTCAGATGCTAGGCTCCGTGTTAAATGTTTTATATAGATTACTTCACTGCACCCCCGAATAGCCTTACGGAATTCAGATCTGCCACTGCTGTCTCCTCCTCTTCTTCTTCTTCCTCCTCCTCCTCTCCCTCTTCTTTCCTTTTATTTTGAAGCAGTCTTGCTAAGTAACCTTGCTGTCCTGAAATTTGCCAAGGAACTTGTGCTGACCTTGAACTGCTGCCTCTCCCCTGTCGGGACGGGACGACAAAGTGTGTCTTCCACACCCAGTTCTGTTCTTTTCTTATCTTTGTTTTACAGGTGAGGAAACTAGGCTCACAGAATTTAAGAGAATTGCCACATTGCAGTCCGACGGCCTGTAGGTGGAGAAGTTGAGATTTGAACCCTGTGAGGTCTTGGACCCATGCTTCTAAATCCTCTTTCTGCTGCTTTGTTTCCATGGAGACAAGGAAGCAGGCTGTGTTCTTCCACCCACCTGGGGCTGGAAAACGGTTGTTCAGGCTCTGAGAGTGGGTGGGCAACCCAGCCAAGACGCATTCCTCTTCTTCAGATGTAACAGGGAGACCCGGGAGCCACTGCCGACCCAGCTTCTCCTTTGCAAGTGGTCGTTTGCTGGGGAGGGCGACCTAGAGGATTCTGGGTCTTTGCCACTCTAATAGATACTACCTGGAGCCTCAGATGGGGAGGAGAATGGGGGTAAGGGTCTAGAAGGCAAAGTGAGTCTGCCCTGGCCACACCCATCTTGATCAAGCAGAGAAACATCTATTTTATTAGGCAGAGAGCTGACAGAGTCAGGTCAAGGTCAAGGAGCCGTGGTCAAAGCCCCTGTCCCTTAGGCTTCTGGGAAAGAGCAGATGACACAGGAGGCTGGGAAGGGAACCCCACACCCTGGTGACTTTAATAAGAAGAGGACATTGAAGAGTACTGCATACAGGTTCACTTAGTAGTATCTTGTCCCCCACCCAACACAACAGCTTCCTGTGCTGTTCGATCAAACTTACATACCACATACATCCATAAACACACGTGTACACCACAGTGTATACATACCACATTCTTGACAAACATTCGCCCTATGTATGTCCTTTTGAGTTTATACATGCGTGAATGCCATCAAACCCTGCACATATATGTGCAATGGGCAGACACTGGCATGCCCCCCCCCAACAACCCCTCATCCCTCATATCACACGGTACATGTGGACAAGTGTCTCAGGTTTGTTTGTATGACTCCCATCCCGCTGCAGGTCATGCAGACACAGATCTGTGTTGTCACACAAGAACAGTTTCCTGTAGACAAGGGTTAAACCATATCCCTTTCTCAGTCACAGCCTGTCCTCCAGGCACGGCCACTCTTGCACATCCACCATCAAACACCCACATGCAGGCAGAATCACTTTCTCTTCTCCTTTCTTTTTCCCATCTCTTTCTCTTTCGCAGCCACCCACACAGTAATCCTAGCCTCTCTCTCTTCCTCTCACCCACACACTCTGTTTCCTGGATTTCCACAGGCTGGGGTGTAGTCACCTCCCCAGTGCCTGCACTAGAAGAAAGCAATCTCTTGCCTGGTGCCCTCGCTAGGGTAGTATCTTGTCCCCCACCCAACACAACAGGCAAAAGTGACCACAAATCTGGGAATGCCCTGGAGCCCACAAAGCCAGACAGAGGGATGGAAGGGGCCAGAATGGATTTATCTCCTCAGTCACCCAACCTCCTGCACTCAGATCATACCCACTGGGGACACGGTCAATCTTAGACCTGAACATCTTTGGGTCTGTGTTTTAGAGGACCTTGGTTGGGATGGGTGTACATCAGTATATTTCTAAGTTCCTTTATCAGAAACCTAAACACTGTTCTTGGGGACAAGTGACACTGGAACCACTCTGGCTGCAAGAGTGTTCAACCAGTGTGGGCTTCCTTCAGACTTGCTGGGGATACAGAGGTGCTTGTTAACCAAGCCCACCAGCGGCTCCCCACGGGATCTGCACTGGAATGTGAGTCTCTGGACTTTCAACAGCTGTGTGTGTGCTGTTCCCAATGAAGCAGAGCGACAATTGCCATGGCCTCTGCTGAGCTCAGCCTAAACCGTGTTCTGCAAAAGTTAGGGAATCAAAGCCACACGGCATCTCTGCCCTTATTGCTGATAGCTAATTAAGTCGGGGGAGAACAAGGGGCTGGCGACAACCCGCCTCAGGAACAACCCTACTGAGGAAGAGAGTTACTCTAGTTTCTGGGTTGAGACAAGTCGGGTGGGGGTGTCATGGTTATCACTTGAGGGGACAGAATCTCAAAGACAGATTTTAAAGGAGGGTAGTAGGGGGAGGGAAAGAGAAAGTGGCAAAGAGATGGCGGCGCATGGAAAAACCGAGTGAGAAAAAAATGTAAGGGCAGAACGGCAGACCTAGAGATGCCAGTAAGA